CATAAGTATAACATCAGCAAGGGATCTAGTGCCACTATACTATCGCAAATGGCGCAAGTTGAAGGCTCAATCGTCAAATGGGACGAAGCAGAAATTATTAAATCGGTACATTCACCGACATTGGCGAATTGCGCAGAAAAAATTGAAATATATAAAAGCAAATTGCATGATTCATGCATCAATTCTAGAGATTCTGAAGGGTTGCCTTCGGCCTGGAAATACTTTATCAAACGATTGGACAAATCTTAATTTATTGCGGCGATTTTAATATTTTTTCGCATAAAGTGCATTTCACTGAATTTCTATATAACGTTTTAATATTTAGTTAACCTATGCTTATTTTTTCGTATACATTTTTTGTTATTTGTAACAATAATTTTTATTTATTTTATTAGTCTGTATACATTTATATATATATTTCGCTCGTTATTTTATTTTATTTGTATTTAAATTTTTGTTCTATTTTATTTATATTCGAATGTTCTTAGCCTGACGATGGCCAACTGATTTGGCTGAAAACGTTTGCGTTAGATTAAATTTTTTTCTCAGCAAATTAAGGTGTAGTGTTTTTTATTTATATACTAATGCTGAGTGAGTGTACATGAATTATTTTACCGTCGACATAAAAATATATAATCAGAAAGAACTCGTAAGAGGACACATCCACCAGGCTCAATAAAACCTGATAACCTGATAAAACCTATAAAAAATGTTTACATATTGTATTATAGGGAATTACTGTATTTTGTTTTTCTTTATTAAATTTAAACGTGTTCGAAAAGCCATTGATTCGAACGTCTTTAATCTGATGATGGCCCACGAAATGGGTTGAAAACGTTTGTTTAGCTGAATAAATGTGCTTTCTCTGTAATAAGGTGTGTTGACTTTATAATATAATTTTCTGCCAGTTTACAACATCATTCTTAAAGGAGTGGGTTAATTAGTAAATAGTAAAAAGGAGAGGGTTAATTATTGACAAGCCCTCTTCCACAGTCTACTCCGTTATGTTTTACCGATTACAGGTTTGACTCATTATTCGAGATTTGATGAAACATAAGTCGTCTGCTAATCTTTGATTTTCGAGGCTACAGTAAATGTAAGCGTAGATAAAATGTTCTGCAAGTCAGAAACAAAAACATTTGATTTTTTACTTATTTTTACAGCAATTGGGTGTAAACAGCAAACACATCAAGCCTGGCTTTCAATCAACAAAATATAGCAATAGGTGAAGCTATCTTCTAACTTATACAAAAGTTACACCATTTAACCCCCATTTATTCTATGTTAAAATGATCAGGAAAAATGGAAAATGTTATTGATCTTTCCTGTAAACTGATTTATTTGAACATATTATGAAGTGTGATACTATTTAATCATTAATTATAACTGTAAAACCAATTATAAAAATTAGAATTTTATTTAATATACTGTACGTCTCAGTATTATACAAAATATTGCAGTTAATTACAATTAATTTCTGAATCAATTGGGTAAAACTCGGACGTCTTTTCTCCTGTATTCCTATCCACGCACCATTTGTTAGCGCCTTCCTTTTGCACCACAGAGAAATAGCCTTTGTCATCGCATTCGGGCACACGCTCACCTGTCGATAATCGAAACGCATTAAATATCTACACCAAGAATTATAATCTATNTTTTTTTTATCGAGCACATTATAGGTTCGTTCAGGTCTCCAATGGGACGACCGGGAGGCGAAGCTGACGTATTTGGACGAACCATCTCCCGAATAATTCCTGGAGCTTTTCGATTCGACTGGATTTAATCCCGGGTTTCCCATATCCGTATAATGATACCTTAATAGCTCGACCATTCGGCCGTTCAATGAGGTCTGCTATCATCAATTAAGAATGAAGAAGGATGTTTCGAATCGTACTTATACGATTAATTACGAAGATCAGGAATGTTTTCAGCTCCGTTTTTCAGCACCTACAACTGCATTCTACACCAATGGAATCAGAGACGATCCTGCTAGGTGTGCACGCGGGCTGCCAAATTCCGAAGGTGCCGATACCGGTTAATGTCAAATGCTTCTTTTGTCGCATCTCTAGTACATCTCACTACGTTTCTCACTACAGTCGTAAAAATCTAAATATGTTACACTTAATACGTTGTCCGTCATTTCTTTTCTAACTAATTCGTCTTAGGACCAGGTGTCCACGGAAATGTATAAAATTTACAACTTTTCCGTCTCTCTTGTTAAACTGGAAAAATTTGTCTTTATTACATTTAATATTACGAAGAAATCACTTCCCACTGTACTCGGTTAGAGATTGGTTTAGTTAAGCTTTTAAGTAAAATTCCTGCTCTTTCAGCAGGTTTTATTTATGTCCCTAATTCCCTAATCTATTAATTTATTTAGTAGAAATAAGTTGAAACCGGTTACTTTGTACTGGAATATTTGTAGTCTTGGGAAAGAAGTGGAAAGACAAATTTTTATGACAAACAGATACATAAATCGTAAATTTAATGAATATAAATTCTAGAGCTTTTCTTCTACCTTGAGCCTCTCATTTATTAAATTTAGTTGTAAATGATGCTGCAAAGTAACAGTTAATTTTTTAACATTGTATAAGAATTGTACACGTTTTTCCTGCATCCCCTTATAGATGGGACATGCTAAATCGTAATATCACTAGTTTAACATTGAAATATGTAAGTAATACAAGATTGGAGAGCAGAATAAAAACAGAATAAATATATAAAAAATTTTAATAAATTATTTTTAAAACTCCTGTCAACTATACAGAACTATCATAANAATACCTGAGAATAAAATTTAAAATATAAATTTACTAAATCGCAAGATATTGATTGAAATTCATATTGAATAAGTACAGAAATTTCGCCAAAGATTCTCCATCCGAAATTAAACGAATTATCCCTTCGTCATTTTGTGTCTTAAATTAAACTAAAAAAGTAAATTGTCAACTCACCACAATTACAAAAAGACTTTTCATTCTGGACGAATATTTTACTTGATGAAGAAGTTGATGTGAAGATTAGAAATTCACTTGTAGAGTAATCTTGTGTACAAATGGCTCGTCTTTTGGATTCTTTTGAGGGTATATATAAGGACTCCTTATCTGCTAGATGTTGTTTTGAACGGAGTCGAAACGACCTCCAACCTCTTCCGATTTTGTTTTTCTTCGTCTTTCGTAAATTTCGTGTTTATTTCTATCGATCACAGTTGAATTTATCCGAAAATTGACATTGTTCTTTTCTTCGAATCGTATTAAATTCAGCGATAGGAAGAGAGATGAAAACAGATAAAAAGTACACGTAACTGATCATTACGTAATTGTGGGTGTTATGTCTACTTTAAACGTTTATACACGTCATTCTATAAGAAATAGAGAGAGATGTTAGAGATAAAGTACTTCGCTATCTTAAAATATACAAATATCTGTTTAATTCATTGATTTATCTGTAGATTCTTGAAGTTAAATACACGTGGCATTAAATACGCTGAGGTGTAGAAAGAGCAGTTCAACAGTGATTTTTTTAATGTAAGGAAGTAAAATAAGGTAGGATCCGAATTATTGATATTCGCTTGTATTTAAAGAATATTAAATACAATGATTCTCGGTTAGTTCATATCCTTTTTTAATATTCCTACTAGAGACATATGGTTTACAACTGTAAAAAACCGACGAAATGACATTAAAAAACATATACAATATACAATTGATGTAGTCCTTTTTTTTGAGGATCCGACTTCAACGACACAGTATTAAAACTTTTCACATCAGCTCAATATCTGTTGTATTTATACATTGTATATGTGTTTTTAATATCATGTCATCGTCGAAGTTTTTTTATTTCTCGACGATCTTCATTAACATGCAATACGATTTTGCAGGGTTCCTGAATAGATGTTCACAAATAATCATGCAATGTATCGTCTTCAGAATTATATAAGAATGCGTTATGAAATTGGAAACACAGAGTAGCATGCTCTGGTACAGAAAGTTGAGCAATGCACTATCATCCGGAATTAGCATTATCGATAATTCGGCACTACCTGGTTCCACAGGTGTACAATTATCTAATATATCCTATATTAGAAATATCGAAAATATAGGAAACTTCTCATTCTACAACATAGCGTATTTATTCAGACCTTTATTCAAGTTCAGGAATATAGAGATAAATTAATCTAGTTAAACAAATATTTGTTTATTTCAAGATAGCAAAATACTTTTTATCTCCAACATCTCTCTCTATTTCTTATAGAATGACGTGTATAAACGTTTAAAAAGTAGACATAACACCTACAATTACGTAATGATCAGTTACGTGTACGTTTTATCTGTTTTCATCTCTCTTCCTATCGTCGAATTTAATTCCATTCGAAGAAAAGAACAATGTCGATTTTCGGATAAATTCAACTGTGATGGAAACAAATAAACACGAAATTTACGAAAGACGAAGAAAAACAAAATCGGAAGAAGTTGGAGGTCGTTTCGACTCCGTTCAAAACAACATCAAGCAGATAAGGAGTCCTTATATATACCCTGAAAAGAATCCAAAAGACGAGCCATTTGTACACAAGATTCCTCTACAAGTGAATTTCTAATCTTCTCATCAACTTCTTCATCAAATAAAATATTCGTCGAGAATGAATTGTCTTTTTGTAATTGTGGTGAGTTGACAATTTACTTTCTTTATTTTAAGACAAAACATCGAAGGAATAAGTCGTTTAATTTTGGATGGTGAATCTTTGGAGAAATTTCTGTACTTATTCAATTCGAATTTCAATCAATATCTTGCGATTTGGTAAATTTATATTTGTAATTTTATTCTCAGGTATTATATGCGACGATCGCTGTATCATTAGGATATGAAAGTAAGCCATTTCTTCGCAGTATATTTATACTTACAGCAGAATATTGATTAAATAACTGTGTTAATTAATATTTTAGGCTGCACCAGTTCTCGACAGAATCAATTGAAAAACGGAAATTCGCCCATAATTCACCAATGCGACGAAAACGGCGATTATCTACCGCTACAACAATATGTTGATCCCCCTCATTGGAAATGGTGTTTCGACAAAAACGGAGAAGTTCTGATGGGTCCTTCAAGACAAATCGAAACCTGTGTTTGTCCCTTAAAGAAGATTGCGTCTGAAGAAGCAGGTAAATTACACTTTCCGATTACCAGAATAGAATATAATTCATGGTGTAAATACGTTTCGATTGTCGACAGGTGAGCCTGTACCCGAATGCGATAAGAAAGGTTATTTCTCTGTGGAGCAAAAGGAATTCGCTAGCAAATGGTGCGTGGATAAGAATACAGGAGAAATGACGTCCGAGTTATACCCAATTGATTCAAGAATTAAGTGTGATTAATTTCATTTGTATTTTTGAAATTACTCTTTACATTAAATAAACTTTTAACTTTATAAATTGTCTTTAAGAACGCAATCCATTACACGCTACTTTAATTAGAACTGAAAATAGGTTAACGAGTTTAAAATGATTCTTGGCAAAATAATACAGTAAAGCGTCGAAAATTCAGCCGATGTAAAATGTATATCAACCCTTTCAATTGTAACTTCATTGTTTGGGTTTCTTTCGTATAAGTATATCGACTCTGTAAATTAACTTTTGAATCTTTGTAAATATCCGTACATTCATTGTGAAATACTAGCNCTGCTTGGAAGCTGAACCGGTTTCGACAATACAACGCGTCCATTCCAGCCACTGTTATTCGAATATACAATAACGATCTTATCGTTTCTTTTTCACATGTAGTATAGAAATTTGTAATAAGATAGGTTCAAATATAAATATATATTGTTCAATTATTTTCATATTTTAGAAAATACAAGGGAAGCGGCGCTTCCACCGCTTTCAAGGACGGCACGCCATTGGTATACGTTCATGTATACAAATTACTTAAAAGTGAATTTTGCTTATATACGTATACTAGGACATCGCGCGACTTTGTCGTATCACGATGGAATTTAGGCAGAGCCGGAATAAAGAAGCGATCCTTGCAGTTGTTAGATACAGAAAGGCGAACCATTGACGGTTGAGAAGACAGGTAAATTTTTTTTACTCTTTCCGTCCTATGGGCACTAAGAAGGCCTCTTATAGCAGGTCCATTATAAGTTCGGCCAGACCCGCAATGGGTCCGGCCCACAAATTTCGGAACGGGTCACTGTGCACAAATGTGTATATCAAGCCTACTCATGATTCGATATATAGCCTATACCATCGATTATCTAATAATCCAATGGCATATAAATTCTCTACCTTTAGAACTCTAATTAGAAGAGCGTTTCTGTATTGCTCTAACACGATAGAAGAGCTGAATAGAATTAAAGAAGTGGCGAAAGTGTTGGGATTTGGAACAAGATCTGTAGAATGCCTAATTACCACATACAATGACTCTAGAAAAAGCAAAAAAAAAAAAAAAACCGGATGGAAGCAGTAACATCACAAAATTCACATATAATAAACGTCTATCTCCGTTATGAAAGAAATCGCGAACTACAAAAACACCAATATTGTATACAAAAGAGCTCCCACCTTATATACGTTGCTAAGAAATGACAAAGAAAAAATTAATAAAAAAGAACAACCAGGAGTGTATGCAATACCGTACAAGAACGACCAATTAGGAATAGATAAAGTATATATAGGAGTCACAAATAGAAATCTTAACGTAAGGATGAAAGAGCATAAGTGCGACGTAGCAAAGAGCCGATATACGACAGTGTTATCAAAAATAGCACAGACAGAGGGACCCATAGTTAAATGGGAAGAGGCCAGTGCCATTGCAAATGTGCACTCGCCAACGCTTGCATCCACAACAGAGAAGTGTGAGATCTACAGATCTAGCTTAACGGATAAATGTTTAAACTATAAAGATGCAACTATTTTACCGTCAATAAAAAACACTACACATTAATTTTTTGAGAAAAAAAATTTAATCTAACGCAAACGTTTTCAGCCAAATCAGTTGGCCATCGTCTGGCTAAGAACATTCGAATATAAATAAAATAGAACAAAAATTTAAATACAAATAAAATAAAATAACGAGCGAAATATATATATAAATGTATAAAGAATAATAAAATAAATAAAAATTATTGTTACAAATAACAATATTCTTTGAAAGCCAAGTTTCGTTTGATTTGTCTTCGTAAATCAATTAGAATCGCTAAGAATAAAAAATATGGTATCTTGCATGAGCTCATCACGTTAGAGGATAATATATACAGTGAAGATCCTAAAATGTTGGAAGAAATTAACAAGGGTATAATTGTGCTAACAGATACGATTCGGAAGAACACAAAAAATAAATATATTAGTAAAATGAAATGGATCATTAAGAAACAAACATCAAGAATGGTTAGTAGCAGTCCTTCAGCATACGTTTTGTGGGACCAAATAGAAATCCCGGATAAGATCAAGGATTTTCTAAAATGGGGACCGAACTTTGTCCCGGAAAGTTCAAACTCATGGAAAACATCAATTCAAGAAATAGAAAGGGGGCTATCTGGGCAGATTCGTTAGAAAAAGAATACCTCCGATGGAAAACCGTCATAAAAGACCAGACGTCTTGGAAGAAAAGATGTGATGCCGGTAAATACATCAAATTTACTAGGGATTGGCTTAGAAAAAATGATTTAGTTACAACAAGAGCTGACAAAAGCAAAACTTTAGTTATCATGAAAAGGCAAACGTATAATAACGCATTGGAGGATTATATTAAAAAAACTGAATGCGAGAGAGTTGAAACAAAAATTATCGACAGCATCGACAGAAGGGTTAAGAAACTTGAAAAAACTAAGCTCACTAAAGCATTACCTTTCCTCAAAAATTGTCGTAATCCCAGACCAAGTATGCCGAGGTTGTTTGCTTTTGCCAAGACCCATAAAGAGGGTAAAGAAATGAGACCTATTGTTGAAAGATGCAGAGGACCAACGTTTATTCTTGAAAAGAAATTACATAAGTTTCTCACCTCGCACATCGAGAGTAATGTACATGTAGCACAGGATCCAAAGGAGGTTGTTAATGAAATACAAGATATAATTTTAATGGATAATGAAATTGGAACTGTGATGGACTATGAGAGTTTATACCCGTCTATAAAAATTGAATCATGCAGGTTAGCACTTTTAGATTTCATGCGCAGCAAGAACCCAGAATTGGCATGTTACAATAATGAATTAACAGAAATAGCTAACCTTATTTGTTATGAATCGTTTTTCACCTTTAACGGCCATCAATATAGACAAAAAAGAGGAGTCCCTATGGGAAGTCCCATGTCGGGACTGTTGTGTGAGCTTGTATTAAGAAGATTGGAAAAAAGCGCTCTTTCTGTATTCTTAAATGACATTGTTTACTTTAAAAGATACGTTGACGATGTCTTTGTAATTTGGAAGAATGACAAAAAAATCGATGATTTTATTAGCATGATCAATAACAACGATGATGGCCTCATGCTGAAGATTGAACAAAAAAATGCTTCACAGATACATTTTTTGGATATTGACGTTGAGTTCAAAGAAGGGCACTTGGCCACTAAGGTATACGTAAAACCGACGCATAGCCCTCTGTACATTCCGTCCCACTCTAATGATCCTTACCAGTACAAAGTGGCTGCCTTCCGTGCCCTTATCCAAAGGGCCTTTCTCTATTGCAGTAGTGTGTTGGATAGGCAACAGGAAATTAATAGAGTATTAAATATTGCCAGATCGCTAGGGTACAGGAGAGATATGATAATAACATTGGTAAAAAAATACAAAGTAAACAAAACTAAGGCTCAAAAATGCGATTTCGGCAAAATTACAAAGTTCACGTATGATAAAAAGAGAAAAGACATCATGAAGGAAATCGCGGTCCGCAAAAAATCCAAGTTAATTTTCAAGAGGGCTCCTAACCTGTATAAATTATTAAGGAATGACAAAGACAGAGTAGATAAAGAAAAAAGAGCTGGAGTATACAGGATTCCTTATGAAAATCGTGAATTGGACATCAATAAAAATTATATTGGTGTCACTAATAGAAGTTTAGGAGTCAGAATAAAAGAGCATAAGTATAACATCAGCAAGGGATCTAGTGCCACTATACTATCGCAAATGGCGCAAGTTGAAGGCTCAATCGTCAAATGGGACGAAGCAGAAATTATTAAATCGGTACATTCACCGACATTGGCGAATTGCGCAGAAAAAATTGAAATATATAAAAGCAAATTGCATGATTCATGCATCAATTCTAGAGATTCTGAAGGGTTGCCTTCGGCCTGGAAATACTTTATCAAACGATTGGACAAATCTTAATTTATTGCGGCGATTTTAATATTTTTTCGCATAAAGTGCATTTCACTGAATTTCTATATAACGTTTTAATATTTAGTTAACCTATGCTTATTTTTTCGTATACATTTTTTGTTATTTGTAACAATAATTTTTATTTATTTTATTAGTCTGTATACATTTATATATATATTTCGCTCGTTATTTTATTTTATTTGTATTTAAATTTTTGTTCTATTTTATTTATATTCGAATGTTCTTAGCCTGACGATGGCCAACTGATTTGGCTGAAAACGTTTGCGTTAGATTAAATTTTTTTCTCAGCAAATTAAGGTGTAGTGTTTTTTATTTATATACTAATGCTGAGTGAGTGTACATGAATTATTTTACCGTCGACATGAAAATATATAATCAGAAAGAACTCGTAAGAGGACACATCCACCAGGCTCAATAAAACCTGATAACCTGATAAAACCTATAAAAAATGTTTACATATTGTATTATAGGGAATTACTGTATTTTGTTTTTCTTTATTAAATTTAAACGTGTTCGAAAAGCCATTGATTCGAACGTCTTTAATCTGATGATGGCCCACGAAATGGGTTGAAAACGTTTGTTTAGCTGAATAAATGTGCTTTCTCTGTAATAAGGTGTGTTGACTTTATAATATAATTTTCTGCCAGTTTACAACATCATTCTTAAAGGAGTGGGTTAATTAGTAAATAGTAAAAAGGAGAGGGTTAATTATTGACAAGCCCTCTTCCACAGTCTACTCCGTTATGTTTTACCGATTACAGGTTTGACTCATTATTCGAGATTTGATGAAACATAAGTCGTCTGCTAATCTTTGATTTTCGAGGCTACAGTAAATGTAAGCGTAGATAAAATGTTCTGCAAGTCAGAAACAAAAACATTTGATTTTTTACTTATTTTTACAGCAATTGGGTGTAAACAGCAAACACATCAAGCCTGGCTTTCAATCAACAAAATATAGCAATAGGTGAAGCTATCTTCTAACTTATACAAAAGTTACACCATTTAACCCCCATTTATTCTATGTTAAAATGATCAGGAAAAATGGAAAATTTTATTGATCTTTCCTGTAAACTGATTTATTTGAACATGTTATGAAGTGTGATACTATTTAATCATTAATTATAACTGTAAAACCAATTATAAAAATTAGAATTTTATTTAATATACTGTACGTCTCAGTATTATACAAAATATTGCAGTTAATTACAATTAATTTCTGAATCAATTGGGTAAAACTCGGACGTCTTTTCTCCTGTATTCCTATCCACGCACCATTTGTTAGCGCCTTCCTTTTGCACCACAGAGAAATAGCCTTTGTCATCGCATTCGGGCACACGCTCACCTGTCGATAATCGAAACGCATTAAATATCTACACCAAGAATTATAATCTATTCTGGTAATAGGAAAGTGTGATTTACCTGCTTCTTCAGAAGCAACTTTCTTCACGGGACAAACACAGGTTTCGATTTGTTTTGAAGGACCCATCAGAGTACCACCGTCCTTGTCGAAACACCATTTCCAGTGAGGGGCGCCAACGGTTTGTTGCAGCGGTAGATAATCACCGTTTTCGTCGCATTGGTGAATTATGGGCGAATTTCCATTTTTCAATTGATTCTGTCGAGAACTGGTGCAGCCTAAAATATTAATTATCACAGTTATTTAATCAATATTCTGGTGGAAGTATAAATAAACTATGAAGAAATGACTTACTCGAATATCCTAACGATACAGCGATCGTCGCAGATAATACCTGAGAATAAAATTTAAACTATAAATTTACCAAATCGCAAGATATTGATTGAAGTTCTAAACGAATAAGTACTGAAATTTCTCCAAAGATTCTCCATCCGAAATTAAACGAATTATTTCTTCGTCATTTTGTGTCTTAAATTAAACTAAAAAAGTAAATTGTCAACTCACCACAATTACAAAAAGACTTTTCATTCTGGACGAATATTTTACTTGATGAAGAAGTTGATGTGAAGATTAGAAATTCACTTGTAGAGTAATCTTGTGTACAAATGGCTCGTCTTTTGGATTCTTTTGAGGGTATATATAAGGACTCCTTATCTGCTAGATGTTGTTTTGAACGGAGTCGAAACGACCTCCAACCTCTTCCGATTTTGTTTTTCTTCGTCTTTCGTAAATTTCGTGTTTATTTCTATCGATCACAGTTGAATTTATCCGAAAATTGACATTGTTCTTTTCTTCGAATCGTATTAAATTCAGCGATAGGAAGAGAGATGAAAACAGATAAAAAGTACACGTAACTGATCATTACGTAATTGTGGGTGTTATGTCTACTTTAAACGTTTATACACGTCATTCTATAAGAAATAGAGAGAGATGTTAGAGATAAAGTACTTCGCTATCTTAAAATATACAAATATCTGTTTAATTCATTGATTTATCTGTAGATTCTTGAAGTTAAATACACGTGGCATTAAATACGCTGAGGTGTAGAAAGAGCAGTTCAACAGTGATTTTTTTAATGTAAGGAAGTAAAATAAGGTAGGATCCGAATTATTGATATTCGCTTGTATTTAAAGAATATTAAATACAATGATTCTCGGTTAGTTCATATCCTTTTTTAATATTCCTACTAGAGACATATGGTTTACAACTGTAAAAAACCGACGAAATGACATTAAAAAACATATACAATATACAATTGATGTAGTCCTTTTTTTTGAGGATCCGACTTCAACGACACAGTATTAAAACTTTTCACATCAGCTCAATATCTGTTGTATTTATACATTGTATATGTGTTTTTAATATCATGTCATCGTCGAAGTTTTTTTATTTCTCGACGATCTTCATTAACATGCAATACGATTTTGCAGGGTTCCTGAATAGATGTTCACAAATAATCATGCAATGTATCGTCTTCAGAATTATATAAGAATGCGTTATGAAATTGGAAACACAGAGTAGCATGCTCTGGTACAGAAAGTTGAGCAATGCACTATCATCCGGAATTAGCATTATCGATAATTCGGCACTACCTGGTTCCACAGGTGTACAATTATCTAATATATCCTATATTAGAAATATCGAAAATATAGGAAACTTCTCATTCTACAACATAGCGTATTTATTCAGACCTTTATTCAAGTTCAGGAATATAGAGATAAATTAATCTAGTTAAACAAATATTTGTTTATTTCAAGATAGCAAAATACTTTTTATCTCCAACATCTCTCTCTATTTCTTATAGAATGACGTGTATAAACGTTTAAAAAGTAGACATAACACCTACAATTACGTAATGATCAGTTACGTGTACGTTTTATCTGTTTTCATCTCTCTTCCTATCGTCGAATTTAATTCCATTCGAAGAAAAGAACAATGTCGATTTTCGGATAAATTCAACTGTGATGGAAACAAATAAACACGAAATTTACGAAAGACGAAGAAAAACAAAATCGGAAGAAGTTGGAGGTCGTTTCGACTCCGTTCAAAACAACATCAAGCAGATAAGGAGTCCTTATATATACCCTGAAAAGAATCCAAAAGACGAGCCATTTGTACACAAGATTCCTCTACAAGTGAATTTCTAATCTTCTCATCAACTTCTTCATCAAATAAAATATTCGTCGAGAATGAATTGTCTTTTTGTAATTGTGGTGAGTTGACAATTTACTTTCTTTATTTTAAGACAAAACATCGAAGGAATAAGTCGTTAAATTTTGGATGGTGAATCTTTGGAGAAATTTCAGTACTTATTCAATTCGAATTTCAATCAATATCTTGCGATTTGGTAAATTTATATTTGTAATTTTATTCTCAGGTATTATATGCGACAATCGCTGTATCATTAGGATATGAAAGTAAGCCATTTCTTCGCAGTATATTTATACTTACAGCAGAATGTTGATTAAATAACTGTGTTAATTAATATTTTAGGCTGCACAAGTTCTCGACAGAATCAATTGAAAAACGGAAATTCGCCCATAATTCACCAATGCGACGAAAACGGCGATTATCTACCGCTACAACAATATGTTGATCCCCCTCACTGGAAATGGTGTTTCGACAAAAACGGAGAAGTTCTGATGGGTCCATCAAGACAAATCGAAACCTGTGTTTGTCCCTTAAAGAAGATTGCGTCTGAAGAAGCAGGTAAATTACACTTTCCGATTACCAGAATAGAATATAATTCATGGTGTAAATACGTTTCGATTGTCGACAGGTGAGCCTGTGCCCGAATGCGATAACAAAGGTTATTTCTCTGTGGAGCAAAAGGAATTCGCTAGCAAATGGTGCGTGGATAAGAATACAGGAGAAATGACGTCCGAGTTATACCCAATTGATTCAAGAATTAAGTGTGATTAATTTCATTTGTATTTTTGAAATTACTCTTTACATTAAATAAACTTTTAACTTTATAAATTGTCTTTAAGAACGCAATCCATTACACGCTACTTTAATTAGAACTGAAAATAGGTTAACGAGTTTAAAATGATTCTTGGCAAAATAATACAGTAAAGCGTCGAAAATTCAGCCGATGTAAAATGTATATCAACCCTTTCAATTGTAACTTCATTGTTTGGGTTTCTTTCGTATAAGTATATCGACTCTGTAAATTAACTTTTGAATCTTTGTAAATATCCGTACATTCATTGTGAAATACAGTCGACCCCCCTATAACACTGATGATTATTCCTTTTTTATGAATTCCATGTTGTACGAGTCATTTAGATTTTACAAATACGTGTGCCGGGCTGTGAACGGCTCACGTATTTGTATAATCTAAGTCACTCGTACAACATGGAATTCATATAATACGGAATAATCAACAGTGTTATAGGAAATCGACTATACTGGCTTTATCTTAGAACACCTAAACTTACTTTCAACTGCAAATATACAGTAATTTATCCAAATTAGTAATTCACATATAGTTTTAAAATACAGATGTATCCGGCACAAGTTATCCGAATTTTCCACGCTTTACTGTATTTTACATTGATTTGAGTTTAGTACCACGAAGGATTTTGTATACTTCCAGAAACCTCTCCATCTTATCAGATGCTCCTGCATTATATGATGAATCTAATATACGATCATATTCTCTGTGGATAATAAAGAAAGCGTAAAAAATGCAAGGTGTAAAAATAAATAACATACAATGGTTATTCCATATTCGTCGGTTTCAAACTGAAGATGATCTATGGAGTAGATCGAAAACGTTTGTTTTTTAATAAACTCCGTAGGCAACGAATAAGGTGTGGTTATTTTGAAAGTTCTCTTAACCTAAGGCAGATCGCGACTTTACATTATGACACAGTACAGATTTTTGAGGTTTTGGACTAATTAAGTACTGTATGCTATTAAATATGTTATGCAAGTAGTGGTTGAACATATAGATGAAAGATTATGTATATAATTTATAGATTGTTAAATATAACTGCCGGGAAAATAAAAGAGGAATATTATAGCAATCGGTCTAAAAATGACCTAATATTCTTAAATTTTTCAACTCGTGTGAGGATCCGAATCCTGGCTTTCAGTATGTTTACATTATTAACTCATAACATCGCATCGTAGCTACAATCTAGTCAAATAACTGTTAACTTTTACACCTGGGAGCAAAACATCTGTTAGGTTCTCAGATCAAGGAACGACACTTTCTCATCACCTCCCGACCTAATATCTCTTCTTTTCTTTCTTCTCAGATGTTGATATGGAGATNAAAATTCAGCCGATGTAAAATGTATATCAACCCTTTCAATTGTAACTTCATTGTTTGGGTTTCTTTCGTATAAGTATATCGACTCTGTAAATTAAGTTTTGAATCTTTGTAAATATCCGTACATTCATTGTGAAATACTAGCTTTATCTTAGAACACCTAAAGTTACTTTCAACTGCAAATATACAGTAATTTATCCGAATAAGGTGTTTGTTATTTTGAAAGTTCTCTTAAACTAAGGGAGATCGCGACTTTACATTAAGACATAGTACAGATTTTTGAGGTTTTGGACTAATTAAGTACTGTGAGACCTGAAAGGCCCCTGGGTCTAAATCAGTAATTTTATTAATAACGTTAATATTTTGTTATAAAATATTATTTCGTTTGGGGGAGAAAAATGACGTTTTAGAGTGGGAAAAATAGATAACAGATGTTACTTCCTTTCACAGAAGTTAGTGAATCCTCTGTTTTCCTCTTATCTGCGAAAACTCTCGCTTTGATGGGAAATGTTTACCCCTCACATATCCCCCTTTCCATCCGTTCTCACGGAGGAATCTTTGCATGATGATTGGTCGCCGATCGTGACATATAGGGGAAATTTGTCCGAATTCGAGGAGTTCAGCGACAGATCTGAAAGTGTCCAAACTCCACACATTTTCCTCCCGATGACCAACGCCCTTAGTCGAGTCACATAGAATAAGTCCAGAGTCTGTACATAGAAATTATACTTTGATTTTGTGCACATATTGATCTCCCATGATAAGAAGTAAATGAACTTTATCTCCAAAGTGTCCCTTGTCTACAGAGAAGAAGACGAACGACAACTAGAACAGGTTGTATGTTTTATAACGACTTTGTGAGCTCTCTCTCTCGATCGCGAAGCGGGTATAGTATAAGTCCTTGCCTATATCGTGTATCTTAATTGTCGTATTTATATTCCTCTTTCATTGATATTTGTAATAGTTTTACTATATATAGAATCATTAAACTTATTCTTGTTTGTTTTATATAAGATATGTCTTTTAAATTGTCTCTGAATCAGATCTATAAAGTAATAACACGCGTGTTTGTCCGCGGAATTTAATTGACAAACTGGTGTCAGCCCTGACGAGCATCTGGACTTCACAGTTCAGATCTACTAGCGATTATCGCCCTCCTATAAAAGGTAAGAGAACCGATCTCACGATCGCGTGCCCGTAAGTGGCGTACCTCTGATTACGTCCCCGGCTATCTCACAGTACTGTATGCTATTAAATACGTCATTGCGAGTATTGGTTGAACATATAGATGAAAGTTTATGTATATAATTTATAGATTGTTAAATATAACTGCCGGGAAAATAAAAGAGGAAAATTATAGCAATCGGTCTAAAACTGACCTAAGATTCTTAAATTTTTCAACTCGTGTGAGGATCCGAATCCTGGCTTTCAGTATGTTTACATTATTATCTCATAACATCATATCGTAGCTCGTCAAATAACTGTCAACTTTTACACCTTGGAACAAAACATCTGTTAGGTTCTCAGATCAAGGAACGACGCTTTCTCATCACCTCCCGACCTAATATTCAATTTCATCAATTCAATATAGAACAGAACAAAAAAGTTACGCAGTCGTGTCGCCAGTCACTCAAAGGAATATCATCCCCTATCTAGTGCCTATTTCAGTTCCAATGGATAGACTTAGTTCTTGTGCACCTAGTTCTTGTGGATACTCAGTTAAACGTATATTTCCTCATCTACGGATACGCCTTTTTTATGAAGACGAACTCTCCTCAGAAGACCAAGATACTTGACTATACGATCCAGAGCGTACCAGAGAACCTCTCAACAAATAGTGCCAGACTGTTGCCGAACATCACCATTATCCCAAAGTATTTATCGCCACGCGCATTTCCTGTAAACTCTCTTTCTCTGTCGAAAATGCGACTTTAGGCCTAGCTATCCCTATTGATGCCCTGTACGATCACGAATTTCTTGTCTTTTACAAATAAACGTTGTTTCGTTAACGAGGACTCTGCGCGAGTCACTTCCGGTGCTCTGTCTCTCACTCCATACCGAACCCGATCGTTCCGTTACGCGATTGCTCGCGTGACCTATTTCAGAAGCGCCGCGACTTCCGTGTCAACCGAGATGCGGTAGTGTCAATCCTGACAAGGCATCGAAGAGATGCAGACCTCCCCGGTCACAGTCATGAAAGCAAAAAATATTCGAGGGTAATTTCTATATATATGAATGTTAGTGAGTAAACACTCACTAACATTCATTAACAAGGGGCACAAAGTTTAATAACACCTGTTTTTTTTTTCTGGTCGAAATTTTCTGAAATTTTTCAGTAAGGGTTGTTTATTAGGAAATTAATCAGCAAAATTTTATAGCACGAAGTCGAACGATGTAGAGATAAGGGAGATCATGTGCATCTGCAACAGGGTCACTCTCAACGACGAGCTTACTCGTTATTAGCATTTACAATTTTTTTTATTAAACCCATCCCTACCCTCAAAAATTAAGCATTTTGTCATATTATAATAACACAAATTTTTTATATTTTTAACTAATAAAATAAAACAGATTGTGTCAACAAATATTGCCAGGGAAATTTTCATAGATCTGTGAAGGTTAATACTTCGTAACTATTATTTGAAATTTCAAAAAGACAATTTATAAAGTTAAAACTTTATTTAATGTACAGGGCAGTTTCAAACAAATGAAGTTAATTACAATTAATATTTGAGTCAATTGGGTATAAGTCGGACGTCTTTTCTCCTGTATTCCTATCCACGCACCATTTGTTAGCGCCTTCCTTCTGCACCACAGAGAAATAACCTTTGTCATCGCATTCGGGCACACGCTCACCTGTCGACAATCGAAACGCATTAAATACTAATACCATGAATTATAATCTATTCTGGTAATACGAAAGTTTAATTTACCTGCTTCTTCAGAAGCAACTTTCTTCACGGGACAAACACAGGTTTCGATTTGTTTTGAAGGACCTATCAGAACTCCTCCGTCCTTGTCGAAACACCATTTCCAGTGAGGAGCGACCACGGTTTGCTGCAGGGGTAGATAATCGCCGTTCTCGTCGCATTGGTGAATTATGTATGGATTTTCTTTCTTCAATTGATTCTGTCGAGAACTGGTGCAGCCTAAAATATTAATTAACATAGCTATTTAATCAATATTCTAATGGAAGTATAAATAAACTATGAAGAAATGACCTACTTGAATATCCTAATGATACAGCGATCGTCGCAGATAATACCTGAGAATAAAATTAAAAATATAAATTTACTAAATCGCTAGATATTGAGTGAAATTCGAATTAAATCAGTACTGAAATTTCTCCAAAGATTCACCATCCGAAATTAAACGAATCAACCCTTCGATATTTTGTATTAAACTAAAGAATGTAAATTGTCAACTTACCACAATTACAAAAAGACTTTTCATTCTCGACGAATATTTTACTTGATGAAGAAGTTGATGTGAAGATTAGAAATTCACTTGTAGAAGTATCTTGTGTAGAATATGGCTCCTCTTTTGGATTTTCTTCACTTTCAGAGTATATATAAATATTCCTTATCTGCCAAATGTTGTTTTGAACGGAGTCGAAATGACCTCCAACCTCTTCCGATTTTATTTTTCTTCGTATTTTTCGACATTTCTCTACATTTCGTGTTTAATTCTACAGACGACACGTGAATTTTTTCGAAATTTGACATTGTTTTTTCTCCGAATCGAATTAAATTCGGCGATAGGAGGAGAGATGAAAACAGATAAAAAGAACACTTAACTGATCATTACGTCACTTAGGGTGTTATGACTATTTTATAACTTTTATGCACGTCATTCTATTAAAAACAGAGATGGTGGAGATAAGTTACTTCGCTATGTTAAANTCGGACGTCTTTTCTCCTGTATTCCTATCCACGCACCATTTGTTAGCGCCTTCCTTCTGCACCACAGAGAAATAACCTTTGTCATCGCATTCGGGCACACGCTCACCTGTCGACAATCGAAACGCATTAAATACTAATACCATGAATTATAATCTATTCTGGTAATACGAAAGTTTAATTTACCTGCTTCTTCAGAAGCAACTTTCTTCACGTGACAAACACAGGTTTCGATTTGTTTTGAAGGACCTATCAGAACTCCTCCGTCCTTGTCGAAACACCATTTCCAGTGAGGAGCGACCACGGTTTGCTGCAGGGGTAGATAATCGCCGTTCTCGTCGCATTGGTGAATTATGTATGGATTTTCTTTCTTCAATTGATTCTGTCGAGAACTGGTGCAGCCTAAAATATTAATTAACATAGCTATTTAATCAATATTCTAATGGAAGTATAAATAAACTATGAAGAAATGACCTACTTGAATATCCTAATGATACAGCGATCGTCGCAGATAATACCTGAGAATAAAATTAAAAATATAAATTTACTAAATCGCTAGATATTGAGTGAAATTCGAATTAAATCAGTACTGAAATTTCTCCAAAGATTCACCATCCTAAATTAAACGAATCAACCCTTCGATATTTTGTATTAAACTAAAGAATGTAAATTGTCAACTTACCACAATTACAAAAAGACTTTTCATTCTCGACGAATATTTTACTTGATGAAGAAGTTGATGTGAAGATTAGAAATTCACTTGTAGAAGTATCTTGTGTAGAATATGGCTCGTCTTTTGGATTTTCTTCACTTTCAGAGTATATATAAATATTCCTTATCTGCCAAATGTTGTTTTGAACGGAGTCGAAATGACCTCCAACCTCTTCCGATTTTATTTTTCTTCGTATTTTTCGACATTTCTCTACATTTCGTGTTTAATTCTACAGACGACACGTGAATTTTTTCGAAATTTGACATTGTTTTTTCTCCGAATCGAATTAAATTCGGCGATAGGAGGAGAGATGAAAACAGATAAAAAGAACACTTAACTGATCATTACGTCACTTAGGGTGTTATGACTATTTTATAACTTTTATGCACGTCATTCTATTAAAAACAGAGATGGTGGAGATAAGTTACTTCGCTATGTTAAAATATACAAATACAGTAGAGCCTCGATTATCCGACCTCCGATTAACCGTCACCTCGGTTAACCGACCCTCCCAGTCGGCAAATTTTAAATGTCCGCTAGTGATGTGGCGCTACAATATTTGGCTATGTCTTGGCAACTTTAATATTATTTTTACGTGTTTTAGCTGGCAACACTGGATCGACCATGAAAAGGAGCCAGTATTTAAACAAGGCTTAATTTTCTAATTTTTAACGATACAATAGCGACGATTATTATTTTAAAAAATTTTTGTNGAAATTCACTTGTAGAGGAATCTTGTGTACAAATGGCTTGTCTTTTGGATTCTTTTCAGGGTATATATAAGGACTCCTTATCTGTTAAATGTTGTTTTGAACGGAGTGGAAATGACCTCCAGCCTCTTCCGAATTTGTTTTTCTTCGTATTTTTCGACATTTCTCTAAATTTCGTGTTTATTTCTACAGACCACACGTGAATTTTTCCGAAAATCGACATTGTTCTTTTCTCCGAATGGAATTAAATTCGGTGATAGGAAAATAGATAATAATCAGTTACGTGTACTTTTTACGTCATTCTGTATGTTATGTCTACTTAAAACGTTTATACACGTCATTCCAATAGAAACAGAGAGAGATGTTTCAGATAAGGTACTGTACTTTGATATCTTAAAAATATATAAATATCTGTTTAATTCATTGATTTACCTGTAGATTTTTGAAATTGAATACACGTTTGAATAAATACGCTGAGTTGTAGAAAGCAGTTCAAAGGTGGCTTTTGTAAATTTTCTTGAAATAATGACGAATATCGATAATTCGGCTCTTACCTTACCGGGTGGTGCCTGGATTATCGATAAAACCTAATTAACGTTCATAAGTGACATTGTTATACGTTTTCTACCGAGGCGTGCAGCTCAATGTTTCTCATTTGTTAATGCACTCTTATTGGAATGTAATTTGAAAAAGTTGTAGATTTATAAATTTCCATTGTCGTAAGTCCTTCCGTCAGTCATTAGCGAGGTTGCTGCCGAAGTTTTCATCTGTAAAACGTGAACGTCGAACGTCGAGCGCCGCTATCTTGTATGCGGCGCTCGACGTTCGACGTTCACGTTTTACAGATGAAAACTTCGGCAGCAACCTCGCTAATGACTGACGGAAGGACTTACGACAATGGAAATTTATAAATCTACAACTTTTTCAAATTACATTCCAATAAGAGTGCATTAACAAATGAGAAACATTGAGCTGCACGCCTCGGTAGAAAACGTATAACAATGTCACTTATGAACGTTAATTAGGTTTTATCGATAATCCAGGCACCACCCGGTAAGGTAAGAGCCGAATTATCGATATTCGTCATTATTTCAAGAAAATTTACAAAAGCCACCTTTGAACTGCTTTCTACAACTCAGCGTATTTATTCAAACGTGTATTCAATTTCAAAAATCTACAGGTAAATCAATGAATTAAACAGATATTTATATATTTTTAAGATATCAAAGTACAGTACCTTATCTGAAACATCTCTCTCTGTTTCTATTGGAATGACGTGTATAAACGTTTTAAGTAGACATAACATACAGAATGACGTAAAAAGTACACGTAACTGATTATTATCTATTTTCCTATCACCGAATTTAATTCCATTCGGAGAAAAGAACAATGTCGATTTTCGGAAAAATTCACGTGTGGTCTGTAGAAATAAACACGAAATTTAGAGAAATGTCGAAAAATACGAAGAAAAACAAATTCGGAAGAGGCTGGAGGTCATTTCCACTCCGTTCAAAACAACATTTAACAGATAAGGAGTCCTTATATATACCCTGAAAAGAATCCAAAAGACAAGCCATTTGTACACAAGATTCCTCTACAAGTGAATTTCTAATCTTCTCATCAACTTCTTCATTAAGTAAAATATTCGTCCAGAATGGAAAGTCTTTTTGTAATTGTGGTGAGTTGACAATTTACTTTCTTTAGTTTAAGACAAAGTATCGAAGGAATAATTCGTTTAATTTCGGATGGTGAATCTTTGGCGAAATTTCTGTACTTATTCAATATGAATTTCAATCAATATCTTGCGATTTAGTAAATTTATATTTTAAATTTTATTCTCAGGTATTATCTGCGACGATCGCTGTATCATTAGGATATTCGAGTAAGTCATTTGTTCGCAGTATATTTATACTTCCATCAGAATATTGATTAAATAACTGTGTTAATTAATATTTTAGGCTGCACCAGTTCTCGACAGAATCAATTGAAAAATGGAAATTCGCCCATAATTCACCAATGCGACGAAAACGGTGATTATCTACCGCTGCAACAAACCGTTGGCGCCCCTCACTGGAAATGGTGTTTCGACAAGGACGGTGGTACTCTGATGGGTCCTTCAAAACAAATCGAAACCTGTGTTTGTCCCGTGAAGAAAGTTGCTTCTGAAGAAGCAGGTAAATCACACTTTCCTATTACCAGAATAGATTATAATTCTTGGTGTAGATATTTAATGCGTTTCGATTATCGACAGGTGAGCGTGTGCCCGAATGCGATGACAAAGGCTATTTCTCTGTGGTGCAAAAGGAAGGCGCTAACAAATGGTGCGTGGATAGGAATACAGGAGAAAAGACGTCCGAGTTATACCCAATTGATTCAGAAATTAATTGTAATTAACTTCGTTTGTTTGTATAAAACTTCGATGTACTGTCTATTAATCTGTGTGATGTTCACGTTTTTTAAAATTTGGTCTTGACAGACATAAGTTAATTCCAGATGGCGATGCGCGAAGTACGGAACCCATTGGTGCTTTTACAATAATAGGGAACTCGACTTCTCCGAACTCTCTCTTTGCAAGCAGACATTCGTCTGGAGCAATTTGTAAAAAGACATTAGGTAGAAAGTCAATTCTTCCTGCGAATATCGAAAAAGAGCTGCTGGAATATATATTATTGATGGAAGTCATATTTTTCTATTAAAAATGCATTTTTGCGATGAAATACATTGGAGTGAACAATTTTGTAATTATTTACTTCAATTTTTTGCACTTTCCTATTTGTTTTTGGCTACATTAAACCATTTTTTCAAAATACAGTAGAACCCCTGTGGTCCGCTTTCGGCTAGTCCGTCGCTCCGGTTAATCCGACCGTGGTCGTAGTCGAGAAACTTGTCCCGACTCGTCGGTGACTCACCGTCCGTGGCGTTTTTCTGTATTCGTTACAGTATATGTTTTACATTGTGTGTGCGTGTACAGTTTTGTGTGTGTTTTCAACATGTCGGGAGTGAAACGTAAACACGTTACTCTTTCATTAAATGAAAAATTAGCGGTGCACAAAGACTGGACAAAGGTGAAGATTGTTATTTTACTTTTTTCTGATAATCCTACCTTTTTTGCGTTCCGACCATACCCCCAGTCCCAAAGGTAACGGATTAGAGGGGTTCTACTGTATACAGTAAGGTTCCATATTACCTCCGGCTTTTCTCTAAGCCTGCTTTCTGACTTTTTGTACAAAAGCTTTCAAAAACCATACTTATAGTAACACTAGCGAAATATCCAATTAGGAACATTTAGTTTAATAGTTATCAGTACTTTTCGCACAAAAAATGTGGGTATAGTTATGATACCTTGTTTACAATTCACTAAAATGTAATTGGGGTTCGATAATACCACTTTCTCCTCTATAATATTTAGAAGGACTGATAGTTATATCACTAGTATTAAAATTAACTATTCGACAAAATCAGTAATATGATCAAAAATTAATGTAATCAGCTTTTACAGGTGAAAGAGTTGTTTCATATAATGTTTAATAATTCACGAAGATATACAAGTATAAGTATCCAAACAGAAATACATGAAAACGTAGAAAAGAGAATTCTCCATTTAAATAGCATATAGCCAAACAAAAAATATGAGTTTAAATGATTCACTTTGTAAAATTGCAATTAAAACATTTACGAACGTGGTGTGTTTTTAATAAAACAGCATTGATATTTTTACATTTCTACATGGCATTAGTAGTATTTACAGATAGTGAAAATACAGCTGTTAATGTTAAATACACCATTAAAACACTGAAATATTCAATTGTTATTGCTTTAAAACTTATTGTAAATAATAAAAACTATGCTTGCTAATATGATAAATGGTAGTAGTTTAGTGTGTTCATTACACGTTGTATAATTAGTAAATAAATGATGTGTGTTTTTCAGTTTTACTCCTTTGTTTAAAGCAATGTTTCACATAGTGGTTCCTACGGACCTTTCAGGGTCGTTAGAAACGCTGATGGAGTCCGTGGCAAATTAAAATTATTTAGGGGGTGCGTGGAAAACGGCCAGAGGTCCGCGATAGGTTTAATAAAAAGTAAAATGATTGTGACCCATTATCATTGTTACGAAAGTTAAAAATAAATAATACAGAGGTTGCGTCCGTCGTATTCAGCCCAGAACGTGAACGGCGGACCGGTCGAGCGCCGCCATCTGGCAATTCTATACGGTCGATAATGTCGTTGGCTACTTCTAGCATGGCGATTAGAATGTCGGTTTAAACTTCTTTATTTTTTTTTTTTTTTAGGAGTTAAAATTATGATCTATTTTATTAAAATAATGAATATTTAAGCATTTACGAATAATATTGTAAAGAAACAGACGATTTTAATCCATAAATTATTTAATTATTCAATTTTTTAGCAAGTGCCTATAGAAATTACGTATATTTGCCTTCACAATAGCTTATCTTAAGGCAGGTTTGTTCTTTCACGGCATCTTTTACCATCAACAGCATAATACGTTTGTAAATTTTCTAAACATTAATTTTCCGAGCTGCTTTCGAATTTACATAAGTCAATAGTGCCCTCGACAAACGTATGAGGTAGTCCTATCGTACGTTAGGAGACACCACGCTAATTAAAAATAATTATTTAGTGTTACTAAACATTCTATAAATATTTTAAATTGTTTAATTTGTTTATATTCCCTTGCTGGTAACCCTCGATGTTAAATGTATCCGCCATTTATTCAACATGCAAATACAAAATAGTTAGTACGGATTATCAAGAGATTTTTCTTCAAATTTTAACTTTACAACATACTACAAATATTATTGAAAATCACTTTAATTTTATTCCTATTGAATACAATTATAACTGTACTATTTAATACCTTTGAATATATTGATTAACGGGATACATTTAGCCAATATTTTTACAAATCAATTTAATTATATTTGGGAAACATAATGTTTTCAGATATTTTAATCATATAGGCCTAAACATAATTGATATTAGACTTCATTGTTGAGACTGCTTTGATTTTCATGGAAATTACTAATTCTGCAATCTTCCTTTCTCTCCACTATTTGTTTCTTGCAGAAAAAATTAATTATTTTATCAATAAAATAATATAAAGGCGTTTCCACAAATAAATGCATGAGTAACGACACTATCAAAGTTAAGCACATCACCATTAGGAAAAGCATCCACTAACAAAGAAAAAGCTTGCATTAATGTATAAAAAAACTTTTATTTATTAAATTAAAATATCTATTGTTTTTAAATACATGTTATAATTGAAATGTTTAAATCGCTTACCTTGTTATAACGCTTCCGTATAAAATACAAAAAATTACATTTAATTTTAGACTTATCTTTATGTTATAAATTTTTATCAGGTTTCATAAAATGATCAGAAAGTCTTCCATATTCCTCTTAACATCTAAGGACATAAGTGCTTGATTTCTAGCTTACTTTAAGTAAAGGGTATTTATTTAACATGTATGATTTCCGGGTCACGTAACTTAATTAATAAATCATACTCATTCGTGACAATATATTAAAGGAATATTTTCTCACCTTCTTAATTTCAATTTCCCACTATCTAAAATTTCGGAAATTCGTTTTTTTCTTTACTTATCAATTTTTGTTGAATAGAATATAGACTTATACAGGAAAAAGGATCTCTGGGATAATCAGTCCTGTACAGTAAGTAAAAAAAATTTAGTTTTTGAAATTATTTCTTAATCAATATGAATAGAAGCATTGTCTGCGGGTCACCATTAACTTTTCTTTACGATAAACCACGTTTCTGATCATGAAACATCGAAAAATAAAAGTTATTCGGGGATTTTCTGTACGTTTGGACGTTACTGTGTGTGTATGTGGAATGAGCACGATTTTCATCACCTTATTTGAAGCGTAATAACTCTTGTGCCTGCTGTCAATATAATTTTAATTTTTTATAAACGTTTATTATTAGGGGATACAAGGTATTCAATTCTGGTTGTTAAAGTACAGAAGGGTAGGAAAATAAAGGCAAGTTGTGTGTCATATCCTAAGTAGCATCGAACATTATAACGATTTTACTCGTTACTAGCATTTACAATTTATTTATAAAACCCTTTCGTATCTCCAAAATTGTTTTCTGCTATTTTATAATACTAAAAATTGTAAAATGTTTTAGTGATAAAATATCATGAGCTGATATCACATGCTTACTTATATGTTGCCGAGAAAGTTAAGCAACCATTTGCTGAATTTTTATTCTTATTAAACTAATCTTACCATCGTTATTGCTGATGCGTAAAGACCTTTCCGTAAATGACCATAAATATACATTAAAACTAGTGGATGAAGCATGTAGATCCAAATAATTAATTTATCCAACACACAAAATATTCGCAATGAAAAAATTCGATTACAGATACCTGTAATAATAATATGCTCTCAATATGAATTAAAAAATAAATCTACGAATAAAATTTTTATACAATGACTTTATTTACGTGTAATTGCTTAAAAACTTATTTACTTACCACCATATCCCGTAATGCATGCAACAGAAATCCATGCGGTAGCCACAGTAAAAGCAAATGGAGATAACGTATGATGTAAATACACTATAGTGTCGTTTGGTAACGTTTCTCTTTTATAATCGTGCAATCCAAATATTGCCAGCATTATCAATACAATACTTCCAATCCAAAATACCAGAAGTGTTTTCTGTAATATCAATTAAAACTATGTTTTATACTATCAAATATTAATATTACATTAAAATTTGAGAAATTTAAGGCTTATTTACAGGGATACATAAATATACAGGGATTAGAGAGAAAGGCAATTTACAGGTTAAGAGTTTTTAGTACAGGTATCCCTCACAATTTCATTAAGGAGTGAAATTAATTGCGGCAAATCTCTTTATATATGCAGTAAAATTAATAATTTATTCAGCTTTACCAGCTAACCTTACTTAACGTAGATACGGTATTTTGATTAAAGCGCGATAGGCTGAAAAAATTAATTTTCCGCGCAAATCAACGATATCTCTAATTATTATTTAAATATTCTGTTTCTAGGTCTTGGATAGATGTAGTAAAAGAAAAAAAAACATACTGCAATATTAAATTGATATTAATAGTCGTTGTAATTAAATTATTGATACAAAATCTTGTGTGATCTCTTGCTTCCATATGTGTTTATATAAAAAATGTCTTACATAGACAGTATAAAAAAGGTTTACCTTTATAAAGTAATTTATGCACACAGTATATAAATATAGTACAGAGATATTTCATATTTCGAACGTCTGTAATTTCAAACTCTTCAGAATTCGTATGCTGAACTTGAGATAAATTCTACTCCAATTTCAAACCGTGCAGTAAAATAAGTTCGCTGGAAATGTAAACGCAATCTGTTGTGCACTGAATTAGTTTTTCTCTCTTCTGTCGGGTTAATTGTGAGACTATGCAAACGCGGCTAGCTAATTTGTCGAGTGATTTGCCAGCAAGCGAGATTATGTGGCGAAAAAAGATGATTACTTGTCTACTTTTGGTAAGTGCAGTACAACAACACCGACAACACCGAACAAGGAGAAAGAAACGTAAAGATAATGATGCCACATATTAACGTTGAACTCGTTAAAGAATAAAGCGAATTATTGCATTTTACAGAAGTAAAAACAAAATACTTTTACTAAATGCAATGTTTATAAATTTATGTAGGCCTATATGTACAGTTTTAAAGATATTTAAAAAAATTTTTTTTTCACTAGAGTAAAAATGTAAGAAACTACCTTTACTCGTACAATGGCACAGTATTACGCATTATTTAGTTGGAAGAAACTAGCTGCGATAAGTAAAAATATTTTTTTGGTATTTGCGATAGGCAGAATTTCCTTCTAACTAGTAAAATTTTTCGCTTTTCGCTTGTTTGTGGTTTTCGTTTACAAGAAATATATCGCTCAAAACTAGATTCGCCATTGCTTAGCCATATCAGTACACTAGTAAATCATGTTGTCAGTTCTTCTCGCTTTATTTTTGACGTGTTTAGTACAGTCCACCCACTATAACACTGTTGATAATTCCGTTTTATATGAATTCGATATTATACGAGTCACTTAGATTTTACAAATACGTGTGCTGAGCTGTGATCGGCTAACGTATTTTTAAAATCTATGTGACTCGTACAACATGGAATTCATATAAAACGAAATTATCAACAGTGTTATAGTGGGTCGACTGTAATATACATTTTCTTCCTTGACAGCTTTTTGTAGCCTTGTTCTGTAACCATTAGATCAAAATTTGTATATAAAACTTTTCGAACCAAATTTGACATGTCCGAAGTTCAAGAGCATCATCCACATACACACAACGCATAATTTTTTCACTATTTTTCTGAAGTTATAGCCTTTCATAAACTCATAAAGCATTATATGCTTGATATGATTTTTACCCAATACATTTCGGTTTGAGTTTATTTAAACAAAGTGGGNCATGCGGTAGCCACAGTAAAAGCAAATGGAGATAACGTATGATGTAAATACACTATAGTGTCGTTTGGTAACGTTTCTCTTTTATAATCGTGCAATCCAAATATTGCCAGCATTATCAATACAATACTTCCAATCCAAAATACCAGAAGTGTTTTCTGTAATATCAATTAAAACTATGTTTTATACTATCAAATATTAATATTACATTAAAATTTGAGAAATTTAAGGCTTATTTACAGGGATACATAAATATACAGGGATTAGAGAGAAAGGCAATTTACAGGTTAAGAGTTTTTAGTACAGGTATCCCTCACAATTTCATTAAGGAGTGAAATTAATTGCGGCAAATCTCTTTATATACGCAGTAAAATTAATAATTTATTCAGCTTTATCAGCTAACCTTACTTAACGTAGATACGGTATTTTGATTAAAGCGCGATAGGCTGAAAAAATTAATTTTCCGCGCAAATCAACGATATCTCTAATTATTATTTAAATATTCTGTTTCTAGGTCTTGGATAGATGTAGTAAAAGAAAAAAACGTACTGCAATATTAAATTGATATTAATAGTCGTTGTAATTAAATTATTGATACAAAATCTTGTGTGATCTCTTGCTTCCATATGTGTTTATATAAAAAATGTCTTACATATACAGTATAAAAAAGGTTTACCTTTATAAAGTAATTTATGCACACAGTATATAAATATAGTACAGAGATATTTCATATTTCGAACGTCTGTAATTTCAAACTCTTCAGAATTCGTATGCTGAACTTGAGATAAATTCTACTCCAATTTCAAACCGTGCAGTAAAATAAGTTCGCTGGAAATGTAAACGCAATCTGTTGTGCACTGAATTAGTTTTTCTCTCTTCTGTCGGGTTAATTGTGAGACTATGCAAACGCGGCTAGCTAATTTGTCGAGTGATTTGCCAGCAAGCGAGATTATGTGGCGAAAAAAGATGATTACTTGTCTACTTTTGGTAAGTGCAGTACAACAACACCGACAACACCGAACAAGGAGAAAGAAACGTAAAGATAATGATGCCACATATTAACGTTGAACTCGTTAAAGAATAAAGCGAATTATTGCATTTTACAGAAGTAAAAACAAAATACTTTTACTAAATGCAATGTTTATAAATTTATGTAGGCCTATATGTACAGTTTTAAAGATATTTAAAAAAATTTTTTTTTCACTAGAGTAAAAATGTAAGAAACTACCTTTACTCGTACAATGGCACAGTATTACGCATTATTTAGTTGGAAGAAACTAGCTGCGATAAGTATAAATATTTTTTTGGTATTTCCTTCTAACTAGTAAAATTTTTCGCTTTTCGCTTGTTTGTGGTTTTCGTTTACAAGAAATATATCGCTCAAAACTAGATTCGCCATTGCTTAGCCATATCAGTACACTAGTAAATCATGTTGTCAGTTCTTCTCGCTTTATTTTTGACGTGTTTAGTACAGTCCACCCACTATAACACTGTTGATAATTCCGTTTTATATGAATTCGATATTATACGAGTCACTTAGATTTTACAAATACGTGTGCTGAGCTGTGATCGGCTAACGTATTTTTAAAATCTATGTGACTCGTACAACATGGAATTCATATAAAACGAAATTATCAACAGTGTTATAGTGGGTCGACTGTAATATACATTTTCTTCCTTGACAGCTTTTTGTAGCCTTGTTCTGTAACCATTAGATCAAAATTTGTATATAAAACTTTTCGAACCAAATTTGACATGTCCGAAGTTCAAGAGCATCATCCACATACACACAACGCATAATTTTTTCACTATTTTTCTGAAGTTATAGCCTTTCATAAACTCATAAAGCATTATATGCTTGATATGATTTTTACCCAATACATTTCGGTTTGAGTTTATTTAAACAAAGTGGGATTATTTCATCAAAAACCATACAATTTAATATACGCAATGACGAATAAAATTTCACATCCGTTATAATTAAATTGTACGTTTCTGTTAAGTAAGAAGAAAAGTTAAAAATAAACAGAAACACTTTCTTTAAGACAATATAATTTTTACTTTTTGACAATAGCATCTGAAGAGCGTGTAAAAGGAACTGAAATTAAGAGAAATGTTGTAACATTTACTATTGTGAGCCGCCGGAGAGGTCGGGAAGTCCTCTCCTTCCGGCCACAGGTCGGTGACCCACTTTCTTGTCAGAGATGGCGTTTCGTACAGTTACGCGTTACACGAGTAGAGGAGAGTCGGAGAGGTCGACGAAAAGACGTTGGCTACGTCGAGTAAAAACACCATTTAAAAACAAAACAAGAATTTATTTAGCTCGCTAACTAAATAAAAATTTACACCAAACTCCTTCAACTTCACGGATGAGAGAGAGAGTTCACAATAATATTTCATACCTCTGGGATAATATCGGATGAGTACTCCGGCTTTAATTTCTGAAAGGCAGTGCGAGGTGTGGCACAAGGTGCAGTAGGTCTGTGATGGGGAAGACTTCGATGTCCGACTTCGTCATTGTTCGTTCGATTGGCGACTCCGCCGAGAGGGGAAGAAGGATGGCTTTTATACATTTTGTGGTGAAAAAATTCGTCAAGTGACTAATTGTTTTAGAAAGTGCGGGGTTAAAGTTGGTGTTAGAATGACAAAAATATGACGAATTTCGCCGATAATTGTAAACTATACACGGATTGATCATGAGAATGTTTATAGTTAAATAGAAAGTGTTATAAATTTCTCATATGCTTTACATTTCGTTTCTGTATGATCAAATTTCTTTGGTTAAAGGAATTTATTATAAATTTAAAAGATTAAATTCCTTTATGAAATTATATAAACTACGAATTTCACACTAATGATTTGAACCACACATTTAACGTTAAGCATGAAAGCGTTACACTTTTGGCAGATCAGGCAGACATGTTTAATATTTGAAAGTCGACGGTTTGCAACAAATTAATACCATTTCCATTTTATAATACAGTATTTATGTATTTTATTTACCGTGTTGGTGTTTTTATTCATTAATAGACTTATATTTATCTTAAATAGTTTATATTTGCTGTTTCTAGTTGATCGAAATGAATATTGTTTATAGTCTATTTACACTCACTGCCAAAAGTTAAGCACGGAGCAGTAAACTGCGAAAAAATTGACAAATAAAACTGTGATTGACACAAAATGAGGCCGGAAAGTAGCAAATATGTTTATGCATGAAACAACACAAAGAATTACATAGAAAGATGAAAACAATATTGAATTTTNTACACTCACTGCCAAAAGTTAAGCACGGAGCAGTAAACTGCGAAAAAATTGACAAATAAAACTGTGATTGACACAAAATGAGGCCGGAAAGTAGCAAATATGTTTATGCATGAAACAACACAAAGAATTACATAGAAAGATGAAAACAATATTGAATTCTCATAAAGTATAAGATGAAATCATATTGGAATCATTAACAAAACAATGTTTAAATTCAAAACAAACAAACAAAACCGACATTAATAGGGTAAATGGTCACACCTCATCCTTACACAAAGTTTACAGCATGTAACCATGCTTTCCATGAGGTGATCAACCACTCCAGAGTGAAATAAGTGCCATTCCTCCTGTATAGCAGTTTGCAACTCTGAGAGTGGCAGGGGGTGGAAAACGTGCACACACAGCACCGCCAAGGGCATCCCAAAGATTCTCAATGGGATTGAGGTCTGGCGAGTATGCTGGCCAATCCATATGCGTGATTCCCTCAGTCAAGGTAGTCGTCGACGAGGGCAGCTCTATGGGGTCGTGCGTTATCATTCATTAAAACGAAAGCAGGACCAACTGCTGCAGCATACAATTTCACAATGGGTTTGAGGACTTCATTCCGATACTGAACAGCCATCACAGAACCCCCTCGATAAATGTGCAGGTCGGTGTGATATCCCAACGAAATGCCTGCTCACACCATAATGCTTTCACCTCAGAATGCGTGATGCTCGATGATGTTCTGGGGATGATTGTGTGTGCCTTTTTTTCTCCATACTCCTACATGCTTGTCATCTGGCTCCAGGGAAAATTGCAACTCATCCGTGAATGTAATGTTGCCCCAATCAGAAACAGTCCAATTCACATGTTGCCCACACCACTTTAATCGTGTGCCTCTGGATTGGACGGATAGTGTAACACAAACTCGTGGTACTCGGGCGTACAGTCCGTTCATGTATAGACTTCGGCGCACAGTAGTAGCATATATCGTTTTACCAATGGCTGCTGCAACCATCGATGTCACACGTGTAGAGTTGCTTTTCAATTCTGCTTGGCTACAACAGCAATATAGCAATCTTCTGCAGGGGTCATAACCCTTGGGGAACCGGCCACAGGTCTTTGGACAACTGTTTGGCTTGTTTCGAATTGTTTCCATAACTGTGAAATGACGAAATGATGAACACCAAAGAAAAGGAGCAACATTTGTGATTGATTGGCCTGCTTCAAGGCGTCCCACACACTGCCAGCGCTCACTGTCTGTCATTCGTCTTCTGGAAGCCATAGAAACATGTCAATCACGCACAGTAATTATACGACAGTTCTCCACAATTTTCTCGGCACTTACATGCAACTCCTCTCACACTTCAGAAGGCTGGCTTCTTATACGACTGCCAGTTTTGCATATTTCAGGACACATAACCATGATTGATAGTAACGTAACATATTTGCATACTTCCACCTACCTCTGCAGTGAATTGCAGCCTCTCAAATGCTGATTGCTTTCCAGACATAAACATTTTCTGCTCTGTGCTTAACTTTTGGCAGTGAGTGTAAATATCGATATGTTACCGTTAAAGCTCGAAAGTCGTTAATGTGTACATTACCTAGCTAATCTGCAGATTAACTGGGGTGATCCGTTAAAGTTGTGAAAATTGTTCCATTTCTCAAATTATCTAGATAATGTGCAGAGTATCTAGGTAATCCGCACATTTCCTATTAGGCACTCGGTAAAGTGAAAATAAGATCTTTGCCACAAATAAATGTACCACAAATAGGTGTGCTTGTCACAGAAACCAATTGCTATGAAATTCAAAGTATCACCAATCTTTAGACTGCACTAGTAAGTAAGCACAATTGGATAATGTTACCTATGGTGAGTAAAATGGCGGCTCGTCTCTGATTCCAGCAA